CTTCCTCCAACACGGCTGTATCGCTGGCCTGGTGCCCTGCCCTGCCCTGCCCTGCCCTGCCCTGCCCTGCCCTGCCCGTGGGCCATGGCTGCACCCCTTTTACAGATGAGTGGGCTGGATACTCGTGGCTGCGCTCTGCCTTTCCCTGGTGGTGCTGCTCAGAGGTCCCCGTCTCTGCCAGGGCTCCCTCTTGCTGTGGGTTCTGGGCAGCTGGTGAGGCAAAGGATGGCTCTGGGGCTGGGAGTCCTTTTTTGGGGTGGCCTCGAGGCAGTTCCTTCTCCCCAGGGTGCTTGCGTGGCTACCAGAGCAGTCTCTCCTCCTGTGCCTGTCTTGAAGGAAGGGGCACGGAGGCTGGGTACAGCAGCGTGTCCTTCAGCTTCGCCTGGGCGGTTGGGCTTCTGGCCAGGGAGGTGCAGAACCGGCCCCCCAAGAAGCGCTCGGAAAGCACGCAGGCCTGTTGGCCTGGCCCCTCTATTCCGGGCCCTTGCAGCAGAGATCCCAAGTCCTCCGGGTGCCCCGTTTGCAGCTCAAGGCGAATCCTGTGCTAGAAACTTCTTTAAAAATTGCCCACGGGGCCCCAGCGCAGCCGGAGACTCTGCCTGTGGCCTGGGCATGGCGCCCTCCCCCTCCGCACAGGTCTTGCCTTTGAAAGGAGTGGGCGCTCCAGGGTGCTCCCTGCTCGCATGGGGCCCCACCGCGTAGGCAGCCCGTCTGGAATGACGGGCCGCTTCGGGTTGAGGAACGCCGGCAGGCTGCTGTGGCCACCCCAGCTGGCCCTGCCTCTTCTGCAAAGGAAGGGTTTGGGACGGGGACCCGGAGGAAGGCGTCTTCAGGGCCCCTGCAGATGTTCTTCCAGCTGGAGGTCCGGGAGAGGGAGGCGAAAGCGTTGCCTAGCTGTCCTCGGTGGGGCCGGCTCAGGCCGAGCGGGGCAGGGCGGGGTGCCCTCGGGCCTCCGAAGAGACCGGGCGTGGCTCTGCCCCCTGGCTGGCAGCGGAGGGTCTCAGCGCTTCTCTGCTCTGCTTCGGCTCCTGGCAGGTCAAGACGCATCTACAAGCACAGACGGCGGCTGCCGTAGCTGTGGGACACCAGCACAACCACGAGGTCAGCTGCTGAGGGCCGAGGCGGTCCTGCTTGCCACAGGCTGTGGCCGTGGGGCCTGGGGGAAGCCCTCTCTTGGCCCGGAGGGACTGCCCAGAGCTTTGCGACCCCTTGCCCAGGTCTCCGCAGAAGTGGGTCTTCCCCCTTCCCTGTGCTTTGCAGGGCTCCTCCCAGGGTGCCTGCCTGGGGCCCCGGACGAGAGGCGGTTCTGCCACGGGTGGCGGGTGCGGGGCCCACGTCTGGGCAGCCATGGAGCTCCCCCCGCTCCTCCCCGCTCAGCCTGCTTTCCCCTTGGAGGAGGCCGAGGGGAGCGCTTTGCGCACAGGCGCTGCCAAGCGGGAGGGGAG